TAATTCAGTTATTACAGGAAATGTATATTTTGTATTCGAAAATTCTGATTCAGTTACAGAAGCAGCAGCAGCTGCTGCTGCTACATCAGATGCTTTAGTTAAATAATTTTTCAACCATAAAGGTGTACGAAAACTATCTAATTGTTCATTATTAGTTAAATTGAATGAAGTAATAGCAAGTACACCTGGTTTTATTTCATCAATTGAAATAAGATTATTAATTTCTTGTTGATGTTGAAGAAATTTTGAAAATTTTTTATATGAACTTAATTTAAGATCAAGTGTTAACCCAGGTACACAATCTTGCATTATTGTATAGAAATGTGATGCTAAAAGTGGTAATTCATATGTTTTAGCTTTACGTTGACATAAATAGAAAAAAATTGTATTAAGTATTTCGTCCATTGATTCAGGATGATCCGATAATTCATTAGGTATTGGAACTAAAAAATATGAAATGAAAACAAAAACCAACAGTCAAGAAAAGTGATATTCTAATTGCATTTATAATATCAAACTTTTGTTCTATACAATTCTTATGTGAAATACGATCTAAAAAGACTGCGGCTAGACTTTGGTCACGATCGTTAAAATAGCCACATATCCTGTATTTCTGTTAACTAGTTAGATATTCTACGACACAAATGACCTCATTTTTCTTGCATGGATCCAGTCTCTACAACTATTTTTATATGCAATAAATTAGATACATTTTGTTATTTAATATTAAATTGATTTCGTTTTATTCTCTTTCGCTTCAACATATTCTCGTCACTTTTACTGAATACTCTGTCTTTCTGCTACCTTGCGATATGGGGTGCTGAATAGTGACAGATTTAGTAGCTCGATATCTTCCCTACAACTAATACTAGCTGTAGCTCTAGAGAGAAGGTCGGACTGGCGCAGAGTTCTTGCGCTCAATTATTGGAGTTCTACATACGCAATAACTATTCACAAGAGCAGATGTATGTCACAACGTATTCACTATGTTATCGGATCTGAGACAAACAGCCGTTCGTGACTGCTTCAGGGCCATTTCATAGCTGGTAATGTCAATGTTTAAGCACAATACCTTGTGGATACGTGTCGAACAACGTAACCACTTAAACATTATGGCATAGTTTAGGTGAATAGATCCTAGCACACTAAAACCAATGTTCGTGACCACGATAAAAAAACTTGGTCACGTCGGGCACTAAGTATAACGAATATGGATATGTGAATTAAAAGGATGATGAAGAAATTCAGCCCAAAATAGATACAATAAGATAATCTCCCTCTCATTATCAACATCAACTACATCATGTTTTAACATTTTAATTCCACAGGAATTGTGCTAACAGATTTATGATCATCTATTTTTATAGTAAATTCCTACTGAAAGCAAAAAAAAAACTAACCAAGATTTGCTTCTTCATTTAAATTTAGCGTATTAATATTATCTGAAGCTTGAGCACATGCTTGTTCAACATTTTCATTAATTTTTTCTCGATCAGTAATAAATAATTGTCGTTGTTCTTTTTCATATGGTATTTCAGTACGTGGTCCAATATTCCAAAGAGCATCTTGATAAAGATGTAGAGGTATAATACCACGTCCTTTCATTCCACTCATATACATATCATCACCATCCATTGTTGTTTGACCAATACCTATTGGATATCGATTATCATCCAAACATATTGAACAAAATTCATCTCGTTGAACATGACGAAATGTTTGTAGTGTAACACAACCTGGTGGTAAAATTAGACCAGGTAACATAAGATCAGCACCATTCATTAATTTATTAAAAACATGTTTATGTGTATGAAATTTTAATGTTAATAAATCTGGACATTTCCATAAAAGATAAACAGTTGGAAGTATACGTTCAGTTTTACTTTTATTATCTTCGATAATAAAAAACCAAGGAATTTTATTTGTTGAATAAACTAATATTTCATCACCTGTACTTAATAATAATTTACATGATGTAAAATCTTCACCTTTACCAGTAGGTATAATTAATGAAAGTATATCGTCATTAAGTGTTGGATAGATTTGTTGAATTTGTTGACGTAATTTTTTTCGATCTGAAGATTTTACTTGTGTATGTCCTTTTGATTTAAAATCTTTACGAAACATAATCTATAATAATAAATTTCTATTAAGAAGCATTCGATTATTTCATTTGAAAAGAATAGTTTGACGAAAGTTATCATAGGCTCAAAGTTGTTTAAGGCAGCAAATAGCCCGAAATTTTTCTGTGACCTATGAGATCGCCTGTTTTTCTTCGAATGATTCTAATTTTGTAGAATTTGTCTAAATTCTTAGGTGTAATGTTTCCAAGAACGAAAGAAAAATATCCATTTCAATTTGATCGAAGTATCTATTAAAAAAAAAAGTTTGAGCCTGATTGGTCGTACCGTATAGAAGGGAAATTTCAGACATTTTTTTGTTGGAAAATTTGATCTTGAGAAAAATACAAAGAAAGTTTCATTTTTAGCATAAAATGAAGTTTTCTTGTTTGCAGACAGGAGATTTCTACTTCTCAGAATGTATATATTAGACAGATGGAATATAAATCTATATGCTAAATATAAGCTAAAAATTTTCAGCCAGGATACGGCGGATGTGGTGGTGCCCTCTTAAGTGTATATATAATTATATTTGATTATTTTTGACTGTATGAAGGATGATGATATATAATCGCGTTCAATACACATGACTCAATAAAAAATATTCAACGAAAAGTTTCTGCTATTATTTTATTTCGATTTCTTTTAATTTATATTATAAATGAATACAACTATCAATTAACCCTCATATTTGAGTCCAATGAAAGCCCTCACTACTAAATTAACTAATTTAAAATATAAGTTGCCTATAACATGTACGGACCAAGATATTCAAATTTCAATATATTTACAGCATATGTCATGTAGCCGCGCTTCAAAATTTCACCAACATTTATTTGGTGAAATTTTTTATATTTTAAATTAATTATTTTAACAGTAAAACTATTTATTGAACAAGAGTATGATCAATCTCCTTAGTTTACAGTACACGTTCTTCCTTTATAAGATTAAATTATTCTTTCTTAAATGATAAATCTACTGAAAATTCTGCAAATAATAGATAAAATATACCGATTGTAATTGTTAATGATCTTTTTTTTTTTGTTAAGTGTTTGCATCTAAAAAAACATAATTATATATTTTCCCAATAATAAGAAGCAATTTTAGCAAAGTCAGAGTATGCTAATCGTCTTACGCAATAATAGACTGAGACTTCAAACGAACTGAACTAGAATCAGTGTAATAAATCATCCAATTGTTTTTTTGAAAAACAAGTCATTAGTGTATTATCTGAACGGGTTGTAAAGAAAAGTTATGGAACTGTCTTTGATCTTATGAGATGTAAAAAGAAAAAATAATGATAATAAATAGCTTGAGGTCGTATGAAAATTTTTCTTTTGGATGGATGAAATATGAAAACATATACGTCGTGTTGAGTTGCTGATTAGAAGAGTAATGATCCAGTACAACTAGTGTTGGGACCAAGGGGATAGCACCGCTCGGATGATAGACTGACTATTAATATAATATTCAGATTGTTTCTTCTTGTAAAGTTCGATTTCTTTTTAAGAATTTTTCAGAAAATAAATTCATTTCTATTTCTAAAAAGACTAACATGAGAAATTTCTCATAAAAGTATATACATCCAAGAATTAATATGTATATATATAATGAAATTTCGATACCAATTATGCATATATGATGATGAATAGAAAAAAAAACCAAGCCTGAAGGTATTATGTTTACCATAAAAGATATGAAACGATCTTTGATATATAATTGAATAAAGTCTAATTCGATTGTACTATTAACATCTTCATCAATAGTTTATTTTATTATATGCTAATCGTAAGCTATCATATTTAAATGAAAATTTGAATAAAAAAATACTTATGACGACGGGAAAAATATTACTGATTCATATCGATCTTTTGATTCTAATAAATTATCCAAATTCAATAACAAAGACAATTAATAATTTCAATGTATATAACAATCGATATTTATTTTTTTTTACATTTTTCAAAGAATGCATCGTAAATTATTACATCAATCTTGAAAAAAATTAATTCAATTGATAAATAATGCTACTAAATAGAAATATGCAGGGATAGGGAACTGTGGGTCTAGATCTAAGATTTTATTTTTTGTCACCCATGAAAAACAATTTATAAAAAAGAATCGTTAAAAATATTTTGTTTGAAATACGTTTTGAAAAATCTTTTTGGATTTCTTGCGGAAAAATTTGCGTTCTAACAGTCTTAGAACGCGCATCATCAAAGGACATGTCTGAACGTATTCTCGAAAAACGGGTTTTTATCAATTAAAAACACGTTTCACAAGAATAGTTCTTCATTATTAAGGAATAAACACGTCTTTAACAATGAAGAACTGTTTCTTTTACTAAATATATTCTTAATTGATAAAATCTGATTTTTCGAGAACGTGTTCAGACATGTTGATCTCGTTCTAAGACTGTCAGAACAGCACTGTTTCGGTCAAGAAACTCAAAAAGACTATTCCAAACATGTCTTTTAACCGTTCTTTTTTATAATATTTTTTCCATGGACGAATCTGGGTATAGAAGTTTAGCTTTTTCTCGTATCCTACTCTAGCTGGGAAAATTTTTCTAATCCTTATCCTATCCTACAGGGTCGGGTAAGGAAGTAACTCTACACATCTCTACTATTAAATAAAACAAAACTAAAGACGATTGTTTGATTCATTAAAAATAAGAATAAAGATGAAAGTACGTTTTTATTTTCTTAACATGAATACAACATTTATTTCCATATATTTTTAACATAAATATTCAATTAGTATTCATATACAACAACAACAACAGCAATAAAGAGATGTTAAGATCAGAGAAGAGAAGAAAATTAAAAATAAGTATATATTACTGATATTGAAGAAAAAAAAACCCAATATGTCAAATGTTCATTGTTGCCAACGAGTATCAGATGATGTCGGCATATATTCTGTTACAGGACGTATTGTCATATTAGAAATCAGTGATACTCCTGAAGTATTACTTTTTGTATTTGAAAATGGCATAAATTGACTATTTAACTAAATACGTTTAATGTAAATTGTAGAATAAAGAAAAACGTCTTTTTGAGTTTTTTTTCCTCTTACTTGACCATGTGTGAATGTTGATGTTGGACTTTGAAGAGTTGATGGATTCGTACTATTTGGATTATTATAATTTAGTGCTGAATGTACGTGATATGGATGACCTTGCTGAAAACAAAAAATAAATGTAGTTTTATTAAGCATTATGTCAAATTTGTTTTTTTTTTCACACGATACATACTTGAGCTTGAAATCCGAAATTCGTTGCTTGTTGATAAAGATTGTTACTACATGATACTGATTTTTGTGGAGGTACTAAATTTGAATGTTGTGCAAGCGAATAAGTAAAACCAGGAAATGAAGCTGAAATAAAATAAGAAATAGAAGTTTCCACTAGAAATAGAGTTCGGCAAATCCTAATCAGAAAGTTCTTTTAACACGTTATCATTATTAATTTTAGAATTGAATTTTTTCTTTATTGATATGTAGAGTACCGTTATTTCTTTCATAGATGGTTATTTGGCTAGTAAAAATTCAATTCATATAATTGCGAATATGATATTTTTATTTGACAATATAGTGAATGAGTTTTTTTTCCTTTTTCCGGAAGAAAAACCATCATCATAACAATCATATAATCACTATAAATGTTCTACTACGACAATCTCTTTCGCTCACAAGGGAAGTTTTTTGATTGATAAATTACTTTTGAATAGATACCATGTAAACCTACAATAGCTTTTACATAAATATCGTAATCGCCTCTCGTAGGAAAACTGATTTTCGAATTTCAACTTGAAACTTTGTATACATACACGTAGATGTTAATGAAAATAGTTACGTTATTAGGTTAAAAGATAATATATTATTTTTGCAATAAATTAAAGAATTTCTTGATTTAGAATTAAAATATTTCTATTTAAATACATACGATTTGATGGTCGAATATTCATTCCTGAAGGTGTTGTTGTCGATACTTGAAGTGTATTAAATAAAGCCATAATTTTTTCATTACTCATAACTGTACCATTATTTGTTTGAGTATTATTTGAAGAAGAATGTGCATTTTCTAATGAATTATTCATGCTTATTACTTCTGATGTTGATGTTGTAAATAATTCATTTAATGGATCAAGAATGTCCGATGAAGGAATGTTTGTTGAAGTAGTTGTATTATTTGATAAAGGTGATGATGGTTCATCTAAGATTTATTAAAATATAATTTTATTTAAGAATTTTAAGTTTTTATATACCTAAATTTAATAGATTGTGAGTATTATCTTCTATAGTAGATGTTTTAGAAGGAGGTGATAATGGTTTTACAATTTGTCGTACTGGATTACTAGTTGATAGTGGTATTGTAAATGGTCTTAATTTTGTAGTATTTTTTTCTATCTAAAGAAATTTTTTTTTGTTTTTATTATCATTTAATATTTAGAATAGACTTACTCGTTCAATATCAGATTTTGTTTCAACTCGTCGTTGATTAGTTTCTGCTTCAATGAGCTAAAACAGAAAAAAAAAGAATTTATTTCAAAAAAAAAAAAAGACACAGAACATAAATCCAAGAATGCATAAAAAATCACAAGACAACACTGACACCAATAGGCACCGTTATTTCAGGTGGAATCCATTCTTTAGCAATCCATTTACGTTGTTCATATTTAGCTCGAATAAATGATTCTAATGTTCTAGACAAAATAAAATATTAAATATAGAAACTATTTTTGTTTTGTTTTTTACATACGAATCAGCTTGTGGTCGTCGAAATCCATCAGGTAAATTTGCTTCATATACAGCACGTGCACGACTATTACCCATAGCTTGCATTGACTATTAAAATATAAAAAATAAATAAATAAAAGTTTTTTTTTGTATTCATACAGCAATTTGTTCGCCTGTCCAAGAGTCTAAATTAACGGATTTAACTTTTGAGATATGTACACCTAAATTACGATGAAAACCAGCACAACGAATACATATAAATACACCTATATTCCAACTAGCCCATCGAGGACCTAGGAAAGAAAATATATATATATATATACGCTTATTTAATAAATTATTTATTTTTCTCATTACTTTTAGTATCACAATCAACACAATATTTATTATCTTCTTCTTTAAGCATTTGTGATAATATCAATTGATATTTTTCTTGCATTTTAGATTTTTCACGTTCAGATCTTGATGCCATTAGAATTTGTTCGAAAAGCTAAAAAAAAGAAAATTTACCTATAATAACATATTAAATTGATGAATAACATCAAATAAATAATTTTCTATATATCATAATAATAATAATAATAATGGATGAACAACGTCACAATAATATTTTATTGGATTATTACGAGTGACCAATCAAAAATCATTTGTCAAAATGTGTCACTCGTTGCAACGTATTCTTCTCGTCTATTAAAATAGAGAATAGGTATTCTTTCCTCATGAAAAGTGTTCCATCATGTGATATTTGATATCACATATTGGAATAGTTGCTATAGAAATATCTATAGAATGTTCCAGAAAGTCTTCATGATTCTTCTTTATATAAATTCATTTTTTTAACAAGACCTTTAATTAATGTTTTAATTTTTGATCAAACAACTATATTAAATTTTTGTTAAGATATATTCTTCAATAGTGCTTATCTCTAATAAGAAAAAAAACATGCATTGCAACGAGTTTTTATTTCAAAAATAAGAAAAAATCAATAGAATATTTCCAGTTTTCTATGAACACAAGCTAATTCATAGAATTAGAAATGCCACTTAGACCGTAGTCTTGATGATAATTGATTGTAATTGTTCTCAGAATAATACACAAAAAACTATCATCACCGTACAGTTCTTATGCGTTTATCGGTCTCATATCTTTACTACTTTATTCAATTAACTTTCAGGAAAAACAATATATTTCTATGCATATTGAAATAAAGGTTAAACAATAGCTTCAAATGACTGATGAATATGATGTAACATCTTGCTCGATATTCTATTCTTGTTTGCTTTTTTTTTTATCCTTCTATAAAATGAAAAACATTATTTTCTACATACTAGAAATCATCTATTACAATTTATAGAACATGAAAAATCTTCTCGTTGATATTCTTCGGACAAGATATAGTACACTTAATCATAAATGTTGAATCTCAACGAATGACAGCTTTGAAGGATAAAAATCTAGTTATCTATAACATGCTTAATGATAATACAAAGAATATCCTTCGTTTATTTTCATGTGTTAAATAAACAATAATGACAGTACATGATTATACATATTTTCCTATTCGGTGAAATGATGATATTCATTCTTAATGACAGTTTTATATTGTTAAAATGTTTATCCAGAGCAAAGATTATGTCAATTGTAAACAATCCTATCTCTGCGTATGACTTGATCCTAGACTTACGACCATATGTTTGTAGCGTCAATCTATAAACATATGAAATATAATTTATTTATTTAAAATAAATACTTAATATTGAATTCATTGTTGAATTCAAAACGTAAATGCTATATGTTCGATACATGTTACTCAACTTACGACCATATGCTATCGTGTACTATAGTCGTACACAACAATTGTTTATGTTCATAATATATGATGATCGTTCTTTTTTTTTTTTGTTGACATATTTCGTAGTATACAGCTGTTGACGATCGTGCTTTTTTGACTACTATCGGAATTTTAAAAGAAGGCACCTGGAAGAAAAGCTTATAACTTTCGAACGAAAAATCATAGCGACCTGCGGTTTTCAGCAATCGATAGATGATTATAGGGGGCACATTTTTATATAAAAATCAAGGTTTAAATAATCGGTGATTGTGGAATTACTGAAAGAGTAGGCTCGTTATTTGGTGAAATCTCAGCAGAACAAGCTGAAACTTTCAGCATATATAGCTCCACTGTACCCCAATCTTTGCTGAAAATATCATCGATAAATCTTGTAATGACGAGGAATGGTGAGCCAATCATCATCTGGCCTTACATAAGGCACTCATTCAATCAAAATATTAGGAAATGGCCTCAACTTTTGGCTGAATAAATACCATAATCTAGACTTCATATCTATGCAATTATATCATAGTTTGATTAAATGAACGAGAAGAGACGGTGAAAATATTACTAAATGCTGCATTTCTCTTAAGAAAGTTGGAAAGATTTGTTTTAAAATACTTACTGTACGAAAATCATTTCTTCGTCGAATTTTGGCTATTTCCGTACATTTTTACGATCAAAGTACGATGCTATTGCATAGATATGAAGTCTAGATTATGATATTTATTCAGCCAAAAGTTGAGGCCATTTCCTAATATTTTGATTGAATGAGTGCCTTATGTAAGGTCAGATGATGATTG